GAGCTGGTCTGAATCACCCCATCCCCGGCCCCACCCCTTCAGTGTTGCCATTGCGCGATATTGGGTATGGCAGTGAACCCATTAGCAATGGCAATGGATTATTTGGGTATGGTACTGGATCCCTTTGGCATGCATAAGAGAATACCTCGGCACGGCAGTGGATCCCTTGGGACTGCACATGGATCCATTGTATATGGCAATGAAACCCAATGAAGTCCAATAGAGTGCATTAGAGTCGAATCGGAAATTCAATGGACCCCAAGGGAGCCCAATACACTCCATTGGAATACACTGGAGCCCAATGGAGTCCAATGGAATACATTGGAGTCACATGGACTCCAATAAAGCCCAATGGAGCCCCATCAAGTTCCCACTGGAGCCCAATGGAGTCCTGAAGATCAATGGGGCCCAAATGGAGCCAACTGGGTCCATTAGGCAAATGGAGTCCAATGAAGTCCTCTGGAATCCTGAAGAATCGTATGGAGTGTAGTGGAGTCCCAGTGAGTCCAAGAGAGTCCAAGGAAATGCAATGGAGACAGGTGCGGAGTCCAACAGAGCTCGATGAGGTCGCATGGAGTCCCATGAGCTCAATGGAGTCCAACGCAGTCCTATCGACACATGGATACCCAAATGAACCTAATAGAGTCCAATGGAGACCAATGGAGACCGATGAAGCCCAATGAAGCCGCATGGACATTCGAATGGAGTCCGCTGGAGACAAGCGGATACTATAGAGGCCAATGGAGTCATATGGAGTCCAACGGAATCCTATCGAGTCCTAAGGAGCCCACTGGAGTCCAACGGAGTTCAAAGGAACCCAACGGAGACCAATGGAGCCCGATAGAGAGCAAGGGAGTCCGATGGAGTCCACTGGAGCACGATGGAGTCCAATTGAGCCCAAGGGAATCCAATGAAGTTCAATGCGGCCGTACGGAGCCCTATGGGCCCAATGGCGCCCAGTAGAGCAGAATGGAAGCGAATTATTCATAGAGCCCAATGGAGTTCAATAGGGTCGTATGGAGCCGTGCAGAGTGCGATGGAGTCCAATAGGTTCCAATGAAGCCCAATGGAGTAGCATTGGTATGACTTGGAGCCTGATGGATTTAATCCAACGGAGCCCAAGGGAGTCCAAAGCAGCCCAATAGAGCCCGATCGAATCCAATGGATTACAATGGCGACCAATGGAGGCCAATGGAGTCCTATGGACCCGTACGGGCAGTCGAATGGAGCCTACTGCAGCTCAATGGAGTACTACAGAAGCCAATGGAGCCCAATGGGGTCCCATCGAGTCCTATGGAGTCCACTGAAGTCCAATGGAGCCCAAAGGATCCCAACAGAGTCTAATAGAGCTCAATGGAGCCCAACGGAGTCCAATGGAGCCCAATGGAGCCCAATGGAGTCCTATAGAGTCCAAGAGGATCAGATAGAGTCCTTTGCGGAGCCCCATGCGATTTTATGGAGTCGTATGGGGTCCTGTGAGCTCAATGGGTTCAAGAGAGTCCAATAGAGTCCAATAGAGCCGAATTGGTACTTTTACGGAGTCCAATAGGGTTCACTGTAGTCAGATGATGGAGTCTAGTGGAGTCATATGGAGTCGCATCGTTATGTGTACGGAGCCCGATGGGATTCAACGAAGTCGAGTTGAGCCATGCGGAGCCCATTGGAGTCCAATGGAGCCCAACAGACTCGAATTAAGTCCAATGGAGTCGCATTTGTACTGTTAGTGGCCCCAATGAATTGCAATGGGGCCGTATGGAGTCATATGGGTTTCGATTGAGCCCAGTACAGTCCAATAGAGTCTTATACATCCAATGGGGTCCCATGGAGTTGTATTGGCACTTATGGGATCCAACGCAGACAAATGGAGCCCAGTGGAGTTCAATAGAGCTGCATTGATACTCTTCATATGGAGCGCAATGGAATTCCACGCACTCGTGTTGAGTCCTATGGAACCCAATGACGTCCAATAGAGCACAGTAGACTCCAATGAAGTCCAATGGACTCTCGTTGGCTTCTTGATGGAACCCAATGAAATTTCATGAGGCCGTATGGGGCCCCATGAATTTTAAATGAGCCCAATGGACTCTAATAGAGTTCAATAGAGTCCAATGAAGCGCGATGGAGTCACATTGGCACTTGTGGAGTCCAACGGAGGAGACTGGCGGCCAGTAGGGACTAATGGAGTCGGATTGGTACTCGAACGGAGTCAAATGAGATTATATGGAGACCGACGGAGTCCAATGGAATCCAATGGGGTCCAATGGAGCCGAATGGAGTCCAATGGAGTCCTCTGTCCAACGGTGTCCTGTCTGCAAGTTCCACTTCTTATGTTTGGAATTAATGCTGGTAGATATTCGGTCGTTGCCACTAGATGTTCGGTCGGTGTCTCAGATGTTTCCCTGTTTTCCTGTGCCAGACCTTCCGCCTAAGAAGGAAGATAGGCCACAAGAAGGGATCATCATACTTGTCTGGGCCCATGGTGCAATTATTCCTGCCTTGCGGATCGTGCGGTTTGGCCCTTGCCGACGCGGTGTCTCAAGTGTTTCCCTGCTCTCCTGATTCCCAACACCCGCCCCCAAAACATCATAATGTGACCTAGCCCGAAGAAGGAATCAGAAACGCGATGTATCCGGCCATTACGGGTCGTTTGTTCGGTCCTTGCCCACGCGGTGTCTCACGTATCTCCCTGTTTATCCGTTCCCCCGCTCCACAAGCCCAAAAAGTGCCTGGTAACGTACCCAACCCACCTGCAACAAGTGACAGTAGCCATGGGCCAATTTAATACGGCCGATGGCACAACAAGGAGCGAGATGTATTGTGAAAGCTTCATGGGGACCTAGGCGGTGCATGCCTCACGGGGCAGAGCTGGGTGAGGAGATAACTAGGGATAAAAAGATAGATCGATAGATACATCATACATACATGCATACATGCATACACGCATACATGCATACATGCGTACATGCATACATGCATACATGCATACATGCATACATGCATACCTGCATACCTGCGTGCATGCATATATGCATACATGCATACATGCATACATACATACATGCATACATGCATACATGCATACATGAATATATGCATATACGCGTATATACATACATACATGCATCCATACATACATACATACATGCATACATACATACATACATACATATATACATACATACATACATACATACATACATACATACATACATACATACATACATACCTACAGACATACATACATGCATGCATACATGCATACATACATACATACATATATAAATACATACATGCATACATACATGCATACATACATACATACATGCATGCATACATGCATACATACATACATACATACATACGTCTACATGCATGCGTACATACATACAGACAGACAGACAGACTGACTGACTGACAGACAGACAGACAGACATGCACACACACATGTATACATACGTATGTACATGTATCTATAATGGGAAATGACAGAAGGACAACGGTGACCAAGAGAAGGAAGGCGGCGGAAGGATGTAGGGACAGCTGGGAGAAGCGAGGAAGAAGAGGGACAGCACTGAGGTCCCCCAGGGAGCAGCCAGGAAGCCGCGAGGTCTCAAATGGGTGCGCGTGTCCATCCTTTCCGCCGTACCTCCCAGGAGCCGACAAACGTGGCGACAATTTCGCAGTTGGTGGCCCGCAGGGAGCCGCGAGGTCTCGACTGGGTGTCGCTCCGCTCCGCTGAACCTCCCAGGATCCCACGAACACGGCCACAGCTGCGCAGGTGGCGGCCCGCCAGGAAGCCGCGAGGTCTCGACTGGGTGCCCGTGTCCCTCCGCTTCGCTGCACCTCCCAGGAGTCCACGGAAGTCGCGACGTTGGCGAACGTGGCAGCGCCCCGAGCAAACCGCGAGGTCTAGTCCGGATGTGCGCAGGACGCCACCCTACTGACCTCCCAGGAGCCCACGCAAATGACGACGGTTGCGCAGGTGGCAGCCCACCAGGGAGCAGCGGGGTACGCGGCAAGTAGGAAAGATTAAGCACGCCGGCAGGAGGCACAAGGTAAGAGGAGGGGAAGATGGGAAGGAGGAGGAGACGGAGGGGCAGCGCTGTATTCAAAACGAGAACCCACTACAGGATGATGGTCGCTCCTCCTCCTCCTCCTCCTCCTCTACCTCCTCCTCCTCCTCCTCCTCCTCCTCCTCATCCTCCTCCTCCTCCTCCTCCTCCTCCCCCTCCTCCCCCTCCCCTTGGCAAAGAGGCTGAATATCATCTACGTCAGCTTCTTACCATATCTCCCTGAAGGGGGGACCATAATTCCACCACATGGCAAAGAGGCTGACCACCAGCATTCACGCCGGCTCCTTCTTCAAAATATTTCTCTGGCAAGGACTGAAGTGGATCTTCATCTTCAGCTTCCTCATTGGCTTGGTTTCCTTCGGGATTGGCCACAGTCATCGCTAATCTTTGTGGACCCACTACAGGAAGGCAGAGAACATCTGGGCCAATGGTGTTTTGATCCAGCCTTTTTTTCCTGGCATTGCACAAATATCCGTCCCCATTCACCTTCTCCTAGCCCTCCCCAACCTTCTCCTCCTCCTCCACCTCCTCCTTCACCTCCTCATCATCATCATCTGTTTCCTCATTATCCTCGTCATCACCAGCTGGTTCATCAGCGTGCGACCAACGCTTCCGAAATCATTCCTTTTGGGACCTGGAATATGCGAAATCTACGTGCTCCAACCCTCGAGGTTCTGTCTTTCCTGAGCGTGGCGCTCGAGATGGAGGCTGTCGGCAATGCCCATCGGCATATACCCTCTGACTTGAGACAAAGTGCAGCAGTCTGGCTGCGAAAAATGACGGCAGTGCCGCCGATGGCTGTGGGATTAATCAAGCCGTCTGGCTTGCAAACCTGCAAACCAAGCCGTCTGGCCTCTTCAGCGCGTGGCCGATGCTCGTCGGCCCGTCGTCGGGAGGGCCGGTGCCCGGCCGTTCGGCGAAGGGCCATCAGCGGCGCCGAGGCGGCGGGGCCGCAGAGAGGAGGCTGCACAGGCGGCGCACGAGGATGCCTACGATGCGAAGCACGGCCAGCGGCTTCTTCGCGATCACAACCTGCAGGATGTCAGCGAGGAGGGACGGCATGGGCTTGTCCATGACTATGTCCTTGTTACCGAAGGCTGCGAGCGACACGCCCCTCAGCGGGCGCGGGACCTGCGCGAGGTTGCCGAGGAAGCCGAGGCCGCTAGCGGGGGCGGAGGCCTTGTAGGAACCTGGGGCCCCGCCCCAGACGCCCAGCGGGTTGGCATAATTGAGTGCCACCCAGTGGTTCACTGACACAATGCCGTAGTTCAGGGTCCGAATCATCTCATCCAGAGTCTCGTCGCGCCTGTCCGGGTAGATGACGTTGCAGCCGAGGTTGCCGAAGACATGCTCGTTCACTGCCCGCGCCGCGGCCAGGGGGAACTCCTTTGGATCCGAGCAGGCTACCGTCGCGATGGCCAGCACGGGCGCGAATGCCTCCGTCTGCAGGGCGTACTTGCGGCACCCTGCCTCACCGATGGTGCCGACATCCACGAGGAGGCTGGGCAAAATCGTAATGTCCTGGCCCAAGGATCGGTACTCGGCCGCCTCGAGGCCGCAGCCAGGCGTCTGCGAAGGCGGCGCCTCGATCTTCTCCGCGTCCGGGTACTCTTTCTCGAATGCTGCATAGCGCTGGTGCGCACCTGGGTAGAAGGGCGGCGGCTGGGACGTCCTGGCCAAGCTCTGCTTCAATGCCGCCAGGAACTGCGGCCGCTGCGGCCACACGGCTTCTGGGGGCAGTACCAAAACCTTCGGGGAGATGCAGTTCATGGAGCAGTTGCTCTTGAAGGCACCCGTGAGCATGGCCGCATGCCTCTCGATGTCGCTCTGTTGCCACTGCTCCTCGGTGCCCGGGCACACGATCCACGGGGTCACGCAGCCGAGCTCCGAAGTAAAGAGCACGTGGTTCTCACGACCTGCTGCCTCCAAGGCGGAACGGACCCGGTCGTGCGTCGCGCCGCTGCCGGTCATGTGCACGTGCGTCACAGAGGGGTGGGTCACGAGCGCCGAGTGCGCGCCGGCCAGCTGCGAGTCGAGGCACTGCTCGTAGGCGCCGCTCGCTGCGAGGGGGGCCAGTAGGTGCTTGAAGGGGGCGTCCATGAAGTCGCGCAGGGGATGCTCTTTCAGGAAGACGCACTTCTTGTGGATGAACGCCAGCTCGAGCACGTCGTTCACCGTGAGGAAATTCTGGTTCCCCGCACCCAGCACGACGCCCACGCCCGGAGCGTCAGCGGTGCTCGGCTCCGTGTCGTCGCCGCCCGGGTTGGCCCACAGCTCGAGCTCCACACCCTTGAACCCTGCGCCCGTCGCGCCCATCTTGTAGATGCAAGGCCCGTCCCTGGGCAGCTGCCTGTCCCTCTCGGGGACCTTCAGCTTGCCCTCGAGGCGCTCGGCGATCTTGTCCAGGCGATCCGCTATGGCCGATGTGAAAATAAATGGGTCCATGCTCGCGATGGAAGAAGATCAAACATACTGCAGAAGCATGATTTGTCGAAGGCCCGCGCGGATTTCCCTGGGTCGGCGCTGGACCCCCTCCGCACGCCCCTTCCCCCACGCGCGCGGAGCGCGTCGGGGCGGCGCTGAAGGCGCCGCCGCGGTTCGAAGGGGGGGGGTCTGGCGCCGACCCAACTTCGAGCGGACCTCCGAGTGTTGTGTTTGTACAACAAATTTGGTCTTCTGGATGTTGTACGCATCCGCCTGCGAGGGCTCCAGGCCGAGGCACCTCATGTTCTCGGCGACCCAGTCATTGTCGAGCGTGCCGAGCTGCACGCGGCACGCCCGCACCACGGCCGCGCGCTCCGCGTCCGCCATGGCATGCCATCTTCCCGCGTTCGCGGCGAGCGCCGCGATCTGACCGCCGACGCGCTCCGGAAGCGCTTTGCAGGTGTTCTCTGCCGGCGTCGACATCGTCTACGCAGAAGGCACTTGTACACCACCACTATGCGTGGCCAGGACCATCCTGGGCCCTGGCATGATGCATACGCCCTCCTGGCCGAGGCCAGAATGGGCTGCGCAGACTGTACACCATCCTGGGGCCCAATATGGCCTTGGCCAGACGTGGTGGTGGTGTATAGGTGCCTTGTGCAGACTTTGGCAAGACTGCACACCTCGAGCCCGTGAAATCAATCTCAGGAAAAACCTGCTTCAGATAGAAGATCTGGTAGAGGTCCTCCTCCTCATCCTCCTCCTGTCTCCCCCACCTCCTCCTCCTCCTCCTCCTCCTCCTCCTCCTCCTCCTCCTCATCATCATCATCAGCAGCAGCAGCAGCAGCATCATATCAGCATCAGCATCAGCGGCAGCATCAGCATCAGCCTCACCATCAACATCATCATCATCATCATCATCATCATCATCATCATCATCATCATCATCATCATCATCATCATCATCATCATCATCATCATCATCATCATCATCATCATCATCAGCATCATCATCATCATCATCATCAGCATCATCATCATCATCACCATCCTCACCATCACTATCCTCATCATCACCACCACCACCATCATCAGAACCATCATCATTATCAGAACAATCATCACGATCGTCGTCATCATCATCATCATCATCATCATCATCATCATCATCATCATCATCATCACCAGCAGCATCATCATGAGACTCATCATCAGCAGCATCAACATCAGCATCAGCATCAGCATCACCATCATCATCATCATCATCATCATCAGGAGCAGCATCATCATCAGCAGCAGCATCATGATCATAATCACCATCAGCAGCATCATCATCACACGCATCATCATCAGCAGCATCATCATCGCCATCACCATAATCATCATAGTCATCAACGGCATAAGCATCATCAGCAACATCAGCATAATCCTCATGATCATCATCAACGTCATCATCATCAGCAGCATTATCATCATCAGCATCAGCATCAGCATCATCATTATCAGCATCCACATCATCATTCGCATCCGCATCTTCATCCTCGACATCATCCACATCATCATCATCAGCAGAAATATCAGAATCGTAATCATCATCAGCAGCAGCATCATTACCGTGATTAGTATAATCCTAGTCCTCAGCCTCTTCCTCTTCATCCTCCTTTTCCTACTCCTCCTCCTCCTCCGCATCCCCTTCCCCCTTGTTCCCTATCCCCATCCTCCTTCTCCTCCTCCTCATCATCATTATCATCCCCCTCCTCTTTCTTCTCCTCCCGCCCCTCTGAAGGGCATCCAGAGAACCCACGCTGCAAACCACGAAGGACCACCCGACCCTTTCGAAACCGCGCAGAAGCCACACAGCCGTGCACTCCCTCCTCCCCCTCCCCCTGCTTCTCGACTTCGGCCCCAGTGGCGGACAGAGCGTCGTGAGGCTACCCCTTCGATACAAGGATCTATATCCCCTGCCCTCTTCGGAGGGGCAACGGTAGGAAGGGAGGCCCTCTCAGGGGGCAAAAGATCGACCTGGAATCAGCGATAAATCGCCGATAGATCGGCAGTAGGCTCCCGATAGCGAATCCGAATGCTCCTAGGCGGCGTAGGCTACCAGGCCCCATATCGGCGATGTATCGGCGATTGGGAGTCGCTGCAGACCCCCTGAGCCTACCTCCCCCTAACGTTGCCATCGGCTCTCCGGCGGCCGTTCGGGACGACCTGGGCACCCCCGAAGCGCCTTCGGCGAGGCGCAGCCGCTGGAGAACACCCTGGGGCTGGGACACCGCCGAGAACTGGCGAGACATCCGAAAACCTCGAACCTCGAACCTGACGTTGCCCCCCGCAAGCTGCCCCCCGGAGCGCCTCCCCCCGCAGCGTTGCCCGTGATCCAGAGGCCCGCCCTGATGTCGGGCGTTGGTAGAACTGGGTTTAGTGGAACCTGGTTTAGTGATCTGTACCGGGGGCGCCCCCCCGTCCCATTTCCACTAACCGGAACTGCCGTCACCCGACAAAAAAAACAGCTATGGCAAACCTGGTTTAGTGATTCTGGCCAATTCGAAGGCTCCGGGGCCCTACCACTAACCGGGTCCCCTTCCCCAGGGTCCTGGCCATACCCGATGATGGAAGACCACCCGTCGCTTAGACGCCCAGGCCCTGGGCCTCCAGAGCTGGCCCCAGGCCTCCCTGTCCCGGCGCGCGCGTCCCGGCCAGAGGCCTTCGCGAGGAGCCCGGCCCCGCGGGCACGACGGGCATCTCCGGGGAGGCCCCGGAAGGAAGGCGAAGAGCTCTGCGGCAACTCGCGGGGGCCTCTTATGACATCTTGCTGGCGCTTACGAATCGGCGCTGAATGTTGACCGACGCTGATCTACGCTGATCGACGCTAGTCGACCCTCAATCGGCGCAGATCGACGCCAAGCCAGCGCTTTCTCATCAAGTACCAGACGCTAGCGTTCGCCAACACACTCCAAAAGAGGCCCTCCTCCTCGTTTCGCCCGTTCTGTTTGCCTCGGCATGCGGCCAAATAGATCGCGACGGTTGGTCGTCGAACTGGGCCTCTGGAGGCCATTTCCAGCCCAGAGGTCATCAAGAACCAACCCTGGATGAAACCTGGACCAGGGAAGTCGACGAGATCCCCGAGGGCCGACGTCACTACAAAGAATCAGGAGCGGCCAAGAGGGAGGTGTCCAAGAGGGGGGGGTGCAAATCATGACCCGCGGCATGTGCGCGGCCTAACGGGGGGGCCAGGGACGTAATGAAATAGGAAGAGGCGCCATGAGGTCTGGGGAAATATCATGGCCCCCGCCATGATATCCACCCCCCCCCCCTAGTCATCACCCTCCTCTTTTCCGCCCCCGAAAGACTGCAGCGTCGGAGGAGAGGGCGGTCAGGAACTTCTGCTCTCAAGGCGCCGGAGCGGCGGCCCGGGCGGCACGCCGGGCCCTGCGGGCGGACGGCGTGTCGCTCGGATCCGGCGGGGCGAGAGGCCGGGCGGAGCTCGGGGAATCCACATGAGAAAGAGGAGACGAAGAGGAGGAGGAGGAGGAGGAGGAGGAGGAGGAGGCCTGGGGACTGGGGCGCGGTCAGCTTGCCACGACGAAGCCAGGCAGCCTGGTGGGCCAGAACCGGCGGCGCGGCACACCAGAGGCCGGAATCCTGACGGCCGCGTGCCGTACGAGACAAAACGCGACAGCGTTCGGACACCTTCGTCAACGGCGATGGTGTCTGCGCCAGACATGGCGATAGGGGAAAGGATCGAGCGAGCGCCGCTCACTGCAATTTCTCCATCCTCCTCCTCCTTCTCCTCCTCCTCCTCCTCCTCCTCATCATCATCATCATCATCATCATCAGCAGCAGCAGCATCATCCTCGTCCTCATTCTCATCCTCATCCTCATCCTCCTTATCATCCTCTTCCTCCTCCATCCTCCTCCTCCTCCTCCTCCTCCTCCTCATCCTCCTCCTCCTCCTCCTCCTCCTCATCCTCATCCTCCTCCTCCTCCTCCTCCTCCCCTCCTAGTTCCTGAGCCATACAACGTGGCTCACAGACGGCCAATCGGGGCGTCAGCACCGCAGTTTTGGAAGCTCGCGTCGACCTCCTCCCTCTCCTCCTCCCTCCTCTCTCCTCCCTCCTCCACTTGAGGCCGCCCTAGCCGGGCCCTAGGCTCTCATCACATCGACGATGCCTCGGTGATGCATCGCAAACGTCGGAACGGAGAAGACCTGAGTCTAGATTGCGCCGCGTCGCCGATGCATCGGCGATGCGGCGCGATCCTCCCACCCAGTGTATGAGGCGCGACATCCGACCCCGACTGGCTCAGAATGAAACGTTGACGTGGAACCGGCGATGCATCCCCCACAAATCGGGTGGCAGGCCCTCGCTGGCGAAACCGCATGCTCCCGGGCTGGGTGGGGTGGGGCCCCCGGGCCCCGATCGGCAATGAGCAGACGGGTAGGGGTCGATGTCTCCCCCCTGGGCCAGTCCCCCCCCCTGTCGGGCCCCTCACTCAACTCTGGGCCCGTTGGCGCGCCCTGGAGCCACTCCCCCCTCCATCGGCACGCCCAAGACGAGAGCGGCGAAGTGGGGACGATGCCCGACCGCGAGGCTTTGCCCAGAACGGACCAGGGCCGCAAGGGGGCTGGCGACGCTTGTCCCAGATCGCAAACGTCCGCGGTGTCACCGACAGCAAGGCCGTTTCGAAATACAGTCAACTCGTATACAGAGGACGCACGATAAGGATGCAAGGGCCTTGGAAGGCCATGTCGACACTTTGCGAGCGGGGCGCGGCCAGCGACAGCGGCCAAGAACGGGCCGAAGGGGAAGGATGCAAGGGTAACCTTGGAAAGTCGCTCATCCTTCCTGTGCGTGTTGCCTTTAGGCAGGGACTGCCGTCGGTCCTCTTCACGTTCTCTCTCCGTACTCACTCCTCGAAGTCATATGTCTTGCCATTGTGGGTACAGGTCCCCAGAAGTTCCGACCCACTTCATAAGGCTGGCTTTCTCTTGGGGGGCTTAGCGTGCACCTCGGGAGGGCGCTCAGCATGTTCCTTGGGTGAACGCTACAAAATGTTCTGCGCTTAGCGTGCTCGCCTGATCCGTTTTTCAAAGGGGGCTGGCAGCAGACGCCATGCGTCACACCCTGACCGTAAGACGTCGGAGGTCTGAGCTTCGATGTCGAGTATGGACAAACCCCCCTTTAGTAAAACGTGGTTTAGTGAAAACGATCTCGGGCCGAAACCTGGCGTGCGCAAGCCTGGAAAATGACGGCCGCGATTCCCTCTCGAGGGCCGAAAACGGCCAATTCGCTAATCGACGTGTCAGGGTAGGAGGTCTGTCCACCCCCGCAATGGCAAAGATCCGTGCGGCCTCCCCCAGCCTGACCGGCCGAGCAGGCCGGCGGACGCGGCCCTCCCGCCGCCCAGCCGAGGCGCCCGCTCCCGGCGCCGCCGACGGCCGCCGGAGAGGCCCGCCGAAGGCCGCCGAGGGTCGTCGAGGG